GGGAGGGCAGGAGGGCGGGAGGGAGGAGAGAGGAGCGCGGGAGAAGCCGCTCGCCGGCTTCAGTGCCAGAGACGACCTGGAGGGGAAAGGAGCTGTTGCTGTCCACTGAGCCGCTGGTGCTGAACCCGGGGATCCCGCGCGCTCTTCGCCCTCGCCGGTCTCTCGCTCGCGCTTGGAGGGCAGTGCCTCCCCCCTTTCCCTCCGCTCGCTCTCAACCCCTTCCCCCCGAAGCAACTTGGCAAAGCAGCTTATCGGACGTGAAGGAGATTCTCTCTCTCTCCCTCAGCTGGGCTCCTGGATGCCCTTCTGTTAAACGCGGGAATTCCTTCGGAGTTGGTGGTGGTGGTTTTGTGTTTGTTTTTTTGGAAACCCAGGACTGTTGGGGGGGGGGTCTCTCCTTTGCAACACTTTTCTTTCTTCTTCTTTTAACGGCCGGGGTCTTTCTGTGGCGGCTCGTCAAGCCGAAGGACCAGCCAAGGAAGCGAGCTTCGTCTGCCCGCTTCCCTGCACGCAGAGGCGGAAAGGACGGGAGGTTATTATTTCTCCTTCGGCGGACTTTCGTGACTCTTGGCTCGGGTAAGAAGCAGTCCGATGGGGCTTGAAAGAGAATCGTTGCTTGCTGGTCGGTTGCTTTAATTTTATTTATAGAGGGTTCCTGTGAAAGTGGGAAGAGTACCGAGGTGGAGGATACAAAGGACAAGCCAAAGTTGCGAGCTTGTTAGCCCTCGGATTAATGCATCGGAAACCCTTGGGAAAGATTTCAGCGGCTCTCAAGGATCATAATGGGTTTCGTAAACAAGAGATGAATGCAGAATGAAGCGAGAGAGTTGGAAGAGGCGGAGGGAGGGGGGGAGGTGTTGTTTCTTGCAAAGTTTTCGCCACACACGCCTTCCAATCGTGCTTTTTTGGGGAGGGCAGACTTTTTATATATATGTGATTTCATCGTGCATGAAAAGGTTGAAAGCTGCACAGGAGAAGATCGATTGTGACAGATTTTCATTAAAACATTAAAGGATCTAAACACCCCCATGAAAAAGAGCGGCATTTGGGACGAGTAAATCTCTAATTGA